ATTATATCAAGTTTTTTTGATAACAATTTCTATTAGAAATGTATTTTGCAGCATTTGACTCCGTACCACTGAACGATTTAGTCGCACATTTGAAAAATAGCCCTAACAGCTGAAATGGAATGTTCGGATAATGGGGTTTATATTGATCATTATGGGTTGAGACCAAACATCAAAAAAACATTGCCATAAATGGATAAAAAAGTGTTTCCATTTATTCATCAAAAAGGCGCATTCTTTGAAGCCAGAATGCATTTTCCTTGATATCGAACATAATGAATGTTAGGATCCTTGAAGAATGTTAAAGTATACGAAAAATCTTTAGCAAAAACTTTGACAAGATGCTCTCTTTTTGCATAAAAAAAAATTCGCTCAAAAAAAACGCTAAAAGATTTTAATCGTAAATGAGAGGATTTATTACGTAGAAAAACGAAGATAGATTCATATTCACATACATAAAAATTATAGAGGAACAAGAAGAATCTTCGATGACTTTTTGAAAAAGTAGAAATTGATTTTTTGGTAGTAATAAAACTATTCCAATTCCAAAGAAACAGCCGTAAGAAATGAAAAAAAGGGGCATCTTTCACCCAGTATCGAAGGATTTGAACTAAGATTTCCAGATGGATAGGATAGGGTATTCGTATATCTGACACATAATTCAAATATGTCAATTTATCCTCCAAAAAGGGAAAAATGGAATGAATTGATCTCAAATTTTTATAAGATTTGATGATTTCTTCCTCCTCTAAGGAAGAGCTTAATTGTAGGAAAAATGGAATTTCCACGACGATGGCAAAACCCTCTGATATTATTTGAGAATAATAATTATTCTTATACCCCCAAAATGGATTTTTGTTAGAATCATTAGCCCAAATGATTAAATGATTCTGTTGATACATTCGAGTAATTAACCGTTTTACAATTAGTAAACTATATTTCTTGTCATAACCTATATTTTCCACAAAAATGGATCTATTCAAATTATGACTATAAGCAAGTCCATAAATATACTCCCTAAAAATAAGTGGGTATAGGAAGTGCTGTTGGCGAGATCTAGCTCGTTCTAAATAGACTTTATATTCCTTCATTTTAGAAATGATATTTGGTCAAAGGATCAGAGATTCATTGGATTATCAAATGATACATAGTGCGATACAGTCAAAACAAGGTATTCTATATCTATATTCGAATTGAAATAAAAAACAAATATGAATAGATACCTAGAAAACGAGTTAAAACACATTAATGGACTATCTCCCCTCGCTTGTTCCTTCTAATTTTTCTAGGACAACAAGCTAGTTAGAAATCCTTTATTTTTTGGGGACCAATCGCTCTTTTGATTTTGGAAAAAAATATCTTTATCAATATACTCTTTCTTCTACACATTTCTTGCTACCCCATAACATAATGGGGAATAGCTAATAATTAGGACTCATAACAAAAATCCTTAATCCATTCGTGGGAAAAACTTTTTCCACAGCAAGCACTAATCCTTTTTTAACGTATAACTAGATGTGGTAATCATTCCAATAAAAAATGAAAGCTCGTTGCTTTTTCTTTCCCTAGAATTCGAGCAGCTAAGCTCTATCCCTTTATTAATTCAACCCAACGGAATTCATTTGTTCCCAGCCAACAATTCAAAGAAAAAGATTGGTCGGATCCAATATGAATGAAAAATTTTTTGAATTCACCGTTGATACGACATGCTGCTTTTTCCATTCATTCCTTTCTGGATCAGTCGTGGTCTTACAAACCCTACCGATGGTATGGATGAACCAATTAGTTCATAGAAATGTGTAAAAAATGGAGTCGCACTTAAAAGCCGAGTACTCTACCATTGAGTTAGCAACCCTAATAAAATTACAAACAAGGATCTGTATATCCAATCGCAATAAAAAAAAGATGGAATTCTATAAATAATAGAATCAAATGTTACATATTACATTATATTACAATACAATGAAAAAAAGAAAAAATGAGAATCAAAAATGATAGACGACTTGTTTAGTACAGTACTGTAGTTATTTGTCTATTAATATAGTTTTAAATTAGTATTATTTTTTTCATATTTCTATTTCAAGAAAAAAAACTTCTTGTTTGTATCAAACAAAATCAAAATACAATGAATCCACCATTTGATGAAGTAAAAAACCTATGTGACATGAGTCAATCCATCCATTGATTCACGATCAGATTATATTTGTTTGATACACTGTTGTCAATATTAGTGTTGAAAAAAAGAATACAATCGAGAAAACAAATAAAAAAATATTTCTATTCTCATTTTTAAATAGAAAATATTTCTATTTTAATTCATTCTATTCCAAATCAAAAAAGAAGAATGAACTAGAAAAAAAATAGATCAATCCGAAAGATCTATAGGATTCATTCTAGATACAACAAGTATTTTTGTATTGTGTATTGTATTCGGCTCAATCCTTTTAGTAAAAGATTGGGCCGAGTTTAATGGAAATTAATAGAACGAATGATTATTACTGGATTACAAAGTATCCATTGCTGGGAATTCAAATTTGATTTCCTTCCAGACTTCACAAGCAGCAGCTAATTCAGGACTCCATTTGCAAGCTTCACGGATAATTGCATTACCCTCGCGAGCAAGATCACGTCCCTCATTCCGAGCTTGTACACATGCTTCCAGAGCTACTCGATTCGCTACGGCACCAGGTGCATTTCCCCAAGGGTGTCCTAAAGTTCCTCCACCGAATTGGAGTACAGAATCATCTCCAAATATCTCGGTCAGAGCAGGCATATGCCAAACGTGAATACCCCCTGAAGCAACAGGGATAACACCTGGTAAAGAAACCCAATCCTGAGTGAAATAAATACCGCGACTTCTATCTTTTTCAATATAATCATCACGTAGTAAATCAACAAAACCTAACGTAATCTCCCTCTCTCCTTCAAGTTTACCTACTACAGTACCAGCGTGAATATGATCTCCACCAGACATACGTAAGGCTTTAGCTAATACACGAAAGTGCATACCATGATTTTTTTGTCTATCGATAACTGCATGCATAGCACGGTGGATATGAAGAAGTAGACCATTATCGCGGCAATAGTGAGACAGGGTAGTATTTGCAGTGAATCCACCTGTTAAGTAGTCATGCATTACGATAGGAACGCCCAATTCTCTAGCAAATACAGCTCTTTTTAGCATTTCTTCACATGTACCCGCAGTAGCATTCAAATAATGTCCTTTGATTTCACCTGTTTCGGCCTGTGATTTATAAATTGCTTCGGCACAAAATAAGAAACGGTCTCTCCAACGCATAAATGGTTGGGAGTTCACATTTTCATCATCTTTGGTAAAATCAAGTCCCCCGCGGAGACATTCATAAACTGCTCTACCATAATTCTTAGCGGATAAACCCAATTTTGGTTTAATAGTACATCCCAATAGGGGACGTCCATACTTGTTCAATTTATCTCTCTCAACTTGGATTCCGTGAGGAGGACCTTGGAAAGTTTTAACATAAGCATTAGGGATTCGCAAATCTTCCAGACGTAGAGCGCGTAAAGCCTTGAACCCAAATACATTACCTACAATGGAGGTAAACATGTTAGTAACAGAACCTTCTTCAAAAAGGTCTAAGGGATAAGCTACATAAGCAATAAATTGATTATCTTCTCCAGGAACAGGCTCTATCTCGTAGCAGCGTCCTTTATAACGATCAAGGCTGGTAAGTCCATCGGTCCACACAGTTGTCCATGTACCAGTGGAAGATTCTGCAGCTACCGCTGCACCTGCTTCTTCAGCCGGAACTCCTGGTTGAGGAGTTACTCGGAATGCTGCCAAGATATCAGTATCTTTGGTTTGATATTCAGGAGTATAATAAGTCAATTTATAATCTTTAACACCAGCTTGGAACCCAACCTTTGCTTTAGTTTCTGTTTGTGGTGACATAAATCCCCCCCCTACAACGCATGAATTAAGAATTATAGCAAGAACAAGGTCTACTCGACATAACTTAGGAGTTAAGAAAACCTTTTTACAAATGATCCATCAACTAATATTATCAATTAATCCGAATGGGTCATTGTTCAATTTTACCATGATATTTGATTTGGCAAATACATCATTATTCTATACTGTTTCATATGTATGGCGCAACCCAACCGTTTTTTTTTGAGTCTCTTATTTTTTTTTTTTTGAATTTTGGAATCTCATTTTCTAATCTAAATAATAAAAAATATACTCTTGACCTTGACAGTGATATATGTTGTATATGTAAATCCTAGATGTCAAAATCGGCAGAATTTGCCCAATAAAAAGAAAAATTGGTAAAAAGAATCTGCATAGTATAAATCCTATGCTGAGGAAAGAAAAAAGAAGGACCAATGAGATAGAAAAACGGAATCATAAACAAACAAAGTTCAGGTTCGAATTACATAGATAATATAGATAGTATTGTCTATAATCTAGAATGATAAACAAATGAAAGACTTTCAAAAGATTTCATCCAATTAAAATTTTCATAATGACTGGGTTGACCTTGAAAATTCACTCATTGAAATTTAAAAACAATTGAATTGGTTGGATGGTACCAAGAAAATCGATTATTAACTTACATTTATTCTTTTATATATTATTAAATATTAAGAAAATTAAGAATATTAACCGATCAACTTGCTTTGTTATCAAACAGTTTTTTCTTAATTTCAATTTTTTTTTTTCAAAAAAATGGATATTTTTTAATATGACAATAACTCCTCCTCCTTCTGATACTGAGGTTTCTGCACTTGAAAAAAAAAATCTGGGGCGTATCACGCAAATAATCGGTCCGGTACTCGATGTAGTTTTTCCACCAGGGAAGATGCCTTATATTTACAACGCTCTGATAGTTCAAGGTCGAGATACGGTTGGCCAACAAATTAACGTAACGTGTGAAGTACAGCAATTATTAGGAAATAATAGAATTAGAGCTGTAGCTATGAGTGCTACAGATGGTCTAAATAGAGGAATGGAAGTGATTGACACGGGAGTTGCTCTAAGTGTTCCAGTCGGTGGAGCAACCCTAGGTCGAATTTTCAACGTGCTTGGAGAGCCTATTGATAATTTGGGTCCTGTAGATACTCGCACAACATCTCCTATTCATAGATCTGCGCCTGCCTTTATACAGTTAGATACACAATTATCCATTTTTGAAACAGGAATTAAAGTAGTCGATCTTTTAGCTCCTTATCGCCGTGGCGGAAAAATAGGACTTTTCGGTGGAGCTGGGGTAGGTAAAACAGTTCTCATTATGGAATTGATCAATAACATTGCCAAAGCTCATGGAGGTGTATCCGTATTTGGCGGAGTAGGTGAGCGTACTCGTGAGGGAAATGATCTTTATATGGAAATGAAAGAATCCGGAGTAATTAATGAAAAAAATATTGCGGAATCAAAAGTAGCTCTAGTCTACGGTCAAATGAATGAACCGCCCGGAGCTCGTATGAGAGTTGGTTTAACTGCCCTAACTATGGCAGAATATTTCCGAGATGTCAATGAGCAGGACGTCCTTCTATTTATCGACAATATCTTCCGTTTTGTCCAAGCCGGATCCGAAGTATCCGCCTTATTGGGCCGAATGCCTTCCGCTGTGGGTTATCAACCCACCCTGGGTACTGAAATGGGTACTTTACAAGAAAGAATTACTTCTACCAAAGAAGGGTCTATAACTTCTATTCAAGCAGTTTATGTACCTGCAGACGATTTGACTGATCCTGCTCCTGCCACGACATTTGCACATTTGGATGCAACTACTGTACTATCAAGAGGATTAGCTGCCAAAGGTATCTATCCAGCAGTAGATCCTTTAGATTCAACGTCAACCATGCTCCAACCTCGCATCGTCGGTGAAGAACATTATGAAACTGCGCAAAGAGTGAAACAAACGTTACAACGTTACAAAGAACTTCAGGACATTATAGCTATTCTTGGGTTGGACGAATTATCCGAAGAGGATCGCTTAACCGTAGCAAGAGCACGAAAAATTGAACGTTTCTTATCACAACCTTTTTTCGTAGCAGAAGTATTTACCGGTTCCCCAGGGAAATATGTTGGTCTAGCAGAAACAATTCGAGGATTTAAATTGATTCTTTCTGGAGAATTAGATAGTCTTCCTGAACAAGCCTTTTATTTGGTGGGTAATATCGATGAAGCTACTGCGAAGGCTACGAACTTAACTTAGAAATGGAGAACAAATTCAAGAAATGACTTTAAATCTTTGTGTACTGACCCCCAATCGAATTGTTTGGGATTCAGAAGTGAAAGAAATTATTTTATCTACTAATAGTGGACAAATTGGGGTATTAAAAAATCATGCGCCTATTGCCACATCTTTAGATATAGGTATTTTGAGAATACGCCTTAACGACCGATGGTTAACGATGGCTCTGATGGGCGGTTTTGCTAGAATAGGCAATAATGAGATCACTATTTTAGTAAATGATGCAGAAAGGGGTAGTGACATTAATCCACAAGAAGCACAACAAACTCTTCAAATAGCAGAAGCTAACTTGAATAAGGCTGAAGGCAAGAGACAAACAATTGAAGCAAATCTAGCTCTCCGGCGAGCTAGGACACGAGTAGAGGCTATCAATATGATCTCATAACAAGTTGGTGCAGCCAAAAAATAGAAAAAAGATAGAAAATTACAATAAAACAATGGTGAGTAGAAAAACTTATTAGATACCGGAATTAATGGTATCTAATAAGTTCTACCAATACCTTACCTACTATTGGATTTGAACCAATGACTCCTGCCGTATGAAAGCAATACTCTAACCACTGAGTTAAGTAGGTCATTTATCATCCTAAATAAAAAAAGTAGCTGTCTATCAGATCAATGGATTATAAATGTTATATTACTTATAAACAATACAAACGCAATATAAATCAAAGAGATTGGATCATGTCATATTTATCTTGACAAGAATTTATTTATCGAATATGATCAAATATGTATCCAAAGCACAAGGGCTATAGCTCAGTTAGGTAGAGCACCTCGTTTACACATGCGCCAATGTTTTTTCATAGGAGTCCATCATGTAATTAAAAGAGTTGATCTTAATTGATAAATCGATGTCTTACTCCCGGAACAAAATAAGAGAACAATAGCCTGACAAAGGATTTAGACGTCAAATGGAATCCATAATGGATTTGAGATATTGATACGGTGAATACTTAATCTATTCAATGCTAGGCAATGAGTCTAGGGACCTCAAAAAAAATCTCTTTTCTTCCTATCTTATGAACTTTAAGGTGTATGAAGTTTCATTTCCTATTTGATATTTTTATTGAAGTAGGTTGATAGAGAGTCCATTTAACTTAAGTTGATCCAGGCCAGAAGCAGACCTACGTCAGGATAACCTTCTTCTTTGAAAAACTTTGGTAGTGCTCTTAGATTTTGATCTAAATAAGAAATCAGAGCACAGGGAGTCATTTCCTTTTTCTTTGTGTAAAGAAAAAAGATGGTAGACTAATTGATATTTCTATCAGTTAATGAAAAAGCCCAATGCAAAAAAAATGCACGTTGGGTCTTTCAAACAATTCAAATCATTTTGATAATAATAAATAATAGTTTGATGTGTTTTACCGAGAAGGTCTACGGTTCGAGTCCGTATAGCCCTAATATTACTACCGATACTACTCAGATTTAGATTTCTTATCTAATATCTGTCATTACAAATATATATGTACTAATACTATATGTACTAGATTAGTACTATATTGAATACTCCATACTAGTAATACTACTAGTATAAATATACTTTCAATACTTTTTGTAATAGAAAGAATGAATAAAGTAATTTCTATTCGAATAGATTAATAGTGGATAGAATAATATGAGTATTAGTATACTCAGATAATAATCTCAATTTTATTAGAAAAAATGTAAACTTAAGAAAATACAAAGCATTTCTATTTAGATTCTATTAATGAATCTAAGAATTTGAAAATTTCAATTCAAATCGACTCAGAATTAATATGAATCCAGTATATTTTCCCCATTCCTAGGAGGACATTTATGTTTTTGCTTTATGAATATGATATTTTTTGGACATTTCTAATAATATCGATCTTTATTCCTATTTTGGCATTTCTAATTTCTGGAATTTTAGCTCCAATTAGGAAAGGGCCAGAAAAACTTTCTAGTTATGAATCCGGAATAGAACCGATGGGCGATGCTTGGTTACAATTTCAAATCCGTTATTATATGTTTGCTCTAGTTTTTGTTGTTTTTGATGTTGAAACAGTCTTTCTTTACCCGTGGGCAATGAGTTTTGATGTATTGGGGGTATCCGTATTTATAGAAGCTTTCATCTTCGTGCTTATCCTAATTGTTGGTTTAGTTTATGCATGGCGAAAGGGAGCATTAGAATGGTCTTAATTCTTGAATATTTAGACAATTAAACAAAACATTGAGACAGTTATGAATTCCATTGAGTTTCCCTTACTTGATCAAAAAACCAAAAATTCAGTTATTTCTACTACATTAAATGATCTTTCAAATTGGTCAAGACTATCTAGTTTATGGCCGCTTCTCTATGGTACTAGTTGTTGCTTCATTGAATTTGCTTCATTAATAGGATCGCGATTTGACTTTGATCGTTATGGACTGGTACCACGCTCTAGTCCTAGGCAGGCAGACCTCATTTTAACAGCGGGCACCGTAACTATGAAAATGGCTCCTTCTTTAGTTCGATTATATGAGCAAATGCCCGAACCAAAATATGTTATTGCTATGGGAGCCTGTACAATTACAGGAGGTATGTTCAGTACCGATTCTTATAGTACTGTTCGGGGCGTGGATAAGCTAATTCCTGTGGATGTATATTTGCCGGGCTGTCCACCTAAACCGGAAGCCGTTATAGATGCTATAACAAAACTTCGTAAGAAAATATCTCGAGAAATCTATG